TCTACGACACGGTGCATGCGCGAGGTCGGGCCCACTAGGACCGACTGAAACACTCTAGACAAGGCAGAGAGGTTCTCTGCCGACTCGGCAGTAAACAAGAGGATTGGCCAGAACTCCCGGAAGAGTTTCCCCCCTGGGAGGATTTGTTGGACATCGTGGAACACAAACCCCTGAGCCGGTTTGCTCATCTTGCGGCTGCGGACGCGGCCGCGGCCAGGAGGGATTTTTACGTCACGTGACCAGCTCCATGGGGACAAGGAAGTACCTAGCGTCCCTGCCTAATGGCGGAGAGATCCGCATCGCTGCAAGCACAAAAGCCTAATTTCGCTCGCAGAAACTGATTGGAGGGACATTCAACTGGAATCTAATTGACCGCCCCTTTATACTGTAGGAGCGGCAGGTAAAGTTACGGCCAGGGAGGGCAAATAGGAGCCAAAATAAAGAAAAAACCACACGAGATAAAAGCGGTAGCAGTATTTTTATTTACCTCCGCCGGCGCCGCGCCTCCCGCCTTTTGTTGTGGTCGAGAGGTTAAAGCGCCGGTACTTGTCGCGGCGTGAAAGTTCCGGGTTTAGATCGCGCTAGGGACTTCATTCTTTTTTTTTTTTTCTTTTTGTATTTTGCGCGTGTCTTACTTTTGAACTGTGATCCTTTTTTGGAAATCATCCACTTGCACTGCTGCGCCTTACACGCTTTTACTGTTAGTCCCACCTGTTCAATCGAAACACCGGGAAGAAGAAAAAAAAAGATCAACGCAAGTTAACGCGCTAATACAATCAATTCATAATGTTCATTAAAAGGAAACCAAGCTAACAGCATCAGTATGGCTTTCACACAAGCGGAGCCGAAACAAGCATCCTTTCCCCAGCGTTTACAATTTTATCTGTTTTCAAATAACGCTCTTGCTACGATTCCTTTGAATAACAAGAGACGCCCATTTAGGACTAATAAAAACTGCAGTTGTAGCAATTACAAAAAATAAAATAAAACAAGCAAAAAAAAAAAAAGACTAGCAGCTGTGGATACATTGATTGAGCGAAATCCTACAAGCAAGGCAGCAGGTCAAACGTCTGAGAAAGTAGTAGAACTGAACTAAAAGAGATCAGTTCTACTACCCCTGAAGAAGAAACGAACGGTTTCGAAACGTAGGGTCGCTACTATTTCAATTTTTGGTTGGCGGATTATCTTATCTCTTTATTATTTACCCAACCAGAGAGAATTCTCTCAAACATGTTTACCTAAAAGAGATCATACTTTTACTTGCATTGAATGAGATAAAAAGTATATTTATACTGTTTACATTTTGTTGTGGCAATCGTTTTGTAATATTAACGCATTACTTGTTGAATTTTAGTAGAATAGCAGACGATCACGACCAAATGCAAAAATGAATCAGGCATCGACCATCGCAAACCCTCTCTCTCATGCAAACACCTAACCTGACTTTGGATCAACAAATGGAATTAATTATAATTAATTATATTTCTTGATCCAAAGTCATTTTAGGTGTTTGCATTAGACAGAGGGTTTGCGATGGTCGATGCCTGATTCATTTTTGCATTTGGTCGTGATCGTCTGCTAGTCTAACTAAAATTCATCAAGTAATGTGTTACTATTACAAAACGATTGCCACAACAAAATGTAAAGAGTATAAATATACTTTTTATCTCATTCCATGCAAGTAAAAGTATGATCTCTTTTAGTTCAGTTCTACTACTTTCTCAGACGTTTGACCTGCTGCCTTACCTGTAGGATTTCGCTCAATCAATGCATCCACAGCTGCTAGTCTTTTTTTTTTTTTTGCTTGTTTTATCTTATTTTTTTTATTGCTACAATTGCAGTTTTTATTAGTCCTAAATAGGCGTCTCTTGTTATTGAAAGGAATCGTAGCAAGAGCGTTATTTGAAAACAGATAAAATTGTAAACGCTGGGGAAAGGATGCTTGTTTCGGCTCCGCTTGTGTGAAAGCCATACTGATGCTGTTAGCTTGGTTTCCTTTTAAAGAACATTACGAAATGATTGCATTAGCGCGTTAACTTGCGTTGATCTTTTTTTTCTTCTTCCCGGTGTTTCGATTGAACAGGTGGGACTAACAGTAAAAGCGTGTAAGGCGCAGTAGTGCAAGTGGATGACTTCCAAAAAAGGATCACAGTTCAAAAGTAAGACAAGCGCAAAATACAAAAAAAAAAAAGAGTCCCTAGCGCGATTTGAACCCGGAACTTTCACGCCGCGACGACAAGTACCGGCGCTTTAACCTCTCGACCACAAAAAAAGGCGGCGCTGGCGGAGGTATATAAAAATACTGCTACCGCTTTTATCTCGTGTGGTTTTTTTTTTATTTTTGCTCCTATTTGCCCTCCCTGGCCGTAACTTTACCTGCCGCTCCTACAGTATAAAGGGGCGGTCAATTATATTCCAGTTGAATGTCCCTCCAATCAGTTTCTGCGAGCGAAATTAGGCTTTTGTGCTTAAAGCGATGCGGATCTCTCCACCATTAGGCAGGGACGCTAGGTACTTCTTTGTCCCCATGGAGCTGGTCACGTGACGTAAAAATCCCTCCTGGCCGCGGCCGCGTCCGCAGCCGCAAGATGAGCAAACCGGCCCTGGGGAAGCTAAAAAAAGGCGACACACAGAAGCAAGAGAAACTTGTAAAAGCCCACAACAAAATGGTCGGATCCTGGACTAATCCAAGTACCATACCATACACGGATTTTGCACTCGGCAACGACGGCCCCGGGGCGGCAGTAGCCTGCTTTCCGGAGATCCAGGTCGATGCGAGCACGCAATTTCCAACTAGCATGCCAGTTCGAGGAGGGGAACTAGCGGCCATTCAAGTGGCCCTGGAATCTGTCCTGGAGAACTCCACCACCGGACCAAAAGAACTCCACATCTTTTCCGACTCTAAGGAAGCAGTCACAGAATGTAAAAAAGCCAACAGCCCGTGCCGAAGGGTGAGGAAAATAAAGAAAATTGTTGCTCGTCTCCTCTTGGAGGGGACGAAGACTATTATCAGCTGGGTTAAGGGTCACGCCGGAACCTAAGGTAACGAAAAGGCACATAAGCTTGCTCGCGTCGCCGTTATCTCCTTCCGCGAGCAATCCGCTATGCCCTCACACCAGCTGGACCACGGCTACTCCATCGCTTGAAATCAAGCACAGGAGTCGGCGGACGAAAACAACTACGACCCCGGTGAAGAAAAGCTTCGCATCAAAGAGCAATACAAGCATCGCTTGTGGGAAAGCCTGCCCCCGGATTCGGATCCCCTTCCAGGGGGATTAGGACGAAGAGGACGAGTAATCCTCATTCGCGTACAAGCCAACGCCAATCCCACTCCGGCCCGGATTGCCCGGTGGGGTAAAGGACGTTCAAACACATGCGTAAAATGCAACGTAACATCAAAGGCGGACACTGTCCACCTTCTATCGAACTGTCCATACTACAAGGACTTGAGGACAACGCACAAGCCCACAAACATCACATCGCTGGAGGAATGGGTGCGCCCACCTCCAAGACCACCAGACAACATCAACATCCTGAAGAGTCTCTTGGACTTTATCTTTGAGGCGAAACTCGATGTTCACATGTGTATATAGTATGTAGCATAGTGCCAAGAGTGTCCAGGTCGCCGTCATCACCGACACCGCCCTTATTCCTTATCCCTTAGTTTATGGCCAATAAACATTTTCAATCAATCAATCTTTCGGCTTGGTCAGTCTGGTCTAAATTCAAGTGAGACTACTATTACAGGACGCAACCTGGTGAGCTTTAGAGAAAGATAAACAAAAAAAAATGATAATGCTTATTGTATATTTTAGTATCCACACTCATTGGGCGCATTCTGAAGTACACGAGTCAGCTACTTAATTTGCGAAGTTCAAGTGACCGAATTAGTTTTAATAATAAAAATAATACCTTATTTTTCTCAACCTAAAATCAACCTCGGCCTTACTGCGAAATATAGCTGCCGTTTTTATATGTACTTTGCGGGAGACGAAGGTGAAAGACCACGAGGTAGAGGGCACGTGACAGGCGGCCGGCCAGAGGCACGAGCTGTCGCTCGACAGTGCGTACTGCGCGAGGCTGGGGCAGGGCAGGAAGGATAAAGCCGCTCTGGTTGGTCTAGCCCATAGCGATCCCCGGAGTGGTCCACCAGCGAGGTCCTGCTGGAACGGCGAGCCCTGGCCATACTAGCCTAGGCTATTACGACACCGGATAGGTTAAGCAGCGAAACTCTGGCTATGATAGCCCTAGTAAAGTGGTAATTTGAGCTAGTTGGTACATCACTGATTTTAAACAGCGCACAAAAAGTCGGCGGAAGAGAAAAGGACAGTAGAACGAAAGAGCGCTGACTCCCAACTGATTTATTTAGAAAGAAGTGAAAAGAAGGAAAAAGAAGCCACGAAATTTGAACCCCACGTGAAGTGAAGTTAAGATTAAAAAAAACAAAGAAAACGAAGAAGAAAAGGAAAAAAAAAGTACAGGTTAAAAGAAACAAAGAAAACGAAGAAGAAGAAAAGGAAGAAATTAGAAAATTAGAAAACTGTAATTTCACCCTTGGCCGGCCAGAGCTACTGTGCTTAGGCGTTGGCCAAAAAAGACACCTCCTTAGAAATCAGCGACATGGACGGTTGGCTGACCCATTGCTGTTTTAGTTTTTGAATTTCAAAAGCCTCGTAGATCTCTCGAGTAGTCCAGTCTTGAAATCTCCCAAGAACAGTTGTTTCACCAAAAGTCAGTGTGCACTGGCAGGAGCGACAGTGTGTAGGCAAGTGTTCGCCTACCGTGGCCTGAAGTGAATAAAAATGATCTCTAAGGCGGTCGTTGACACATCGCTCAGTCTGTCCGTGCAGGTAACGAACTTGTTCTTGTGCCCCTTGTGGCATACGGCTCGTAAACGGTTGTCAAGGACGGACCCCACTTTGGCGCGGATCTTGAATAACCTTAGGGGGGCCGAAAACACAACGGGGACATCATATCATCATATCATCGAAATAGAGTTCCTATATTTCGACTCGGCTTGCTGGTGCCTCCAAAGTTCTCGCTGTACCCCCTGTGCCCTCGGTGACATGTTCCATCGAGGCCTCCACTTTTTGGTTTGGCGCCTGTACCAACCGTTCTTCAGCCTTGAGATGCTTGTCGTTGAGCAGGCGAAAGCGTTCTTGCAACTGCTGATTTGCTTGCCACAGCTCTTGCAGCTCCTGCATAGTCTTTTGTCCCACGGCGCCCTGCTGCTCCGCGAAGACTGCGATATCTCGTCTGGCTGTTGCCCACTCTTTTGTGAGCTGAGCGCAGCTGTCCTCCCAACTGCGTTTCACTTGGGCTGCCGCGTGAAACTCTTCCTGCAGGTTCCTGTGTCTGTATACAATGTAGTTATACTTGTCCAACAGCTGGGAGTGGTCTGTCTTCAGCGCTGATAGTGCTGCCTCACACTTGGCCGCTTCGTCCAGCGCAGTGCAGTGCTCTTTCTCCATCTCCTTGGTGGCCTTGACGTGCTGCTCGCGCTGAGTCTTCAACTCCTCCTCGAGGCATTGTCGTGCCTGCTTTAAGTTCTCAGCTAGCTGTTGAAAATGTTTGTTGTCACTGATGAGCATCTCAGCTTGCTCCTCCAGGCAGGAAAGTTCTGACCACAAAATGTCGGCTTCGCTTTCTAGCTTTCCGTTGCGTTTTAGGAGGCTGCTGACTTTCTCGTCTAACCTCTCGCACTCTGTTTCTGCCTTCTCGGTAAAGGAGCTTCCGTCTGCTTCCGCTTGCGACAAATTGTTACACTTAACAGCATTCTCTCTCTCTCTCAAAGTCTCCGCCACCTTTTCGTGTCTCTGCTGCCGGAGGTGGCTTTCATTACACAGGCTTCTAATTTTTTCACTCGCATCTTTACAAGATGATTTCCACTGCTGACTTTCTTGAGCGAGGAGCTCGTTCCTAACTGTCAAGGATGTGACCCGTTCCTGAATCACTGCCAGCATACGGTTCAAGTCTTCCAGCTGACTTGCTTCAAGAGACACTGCAGCTTCTGACGACTGGTTGGTGTGCTCAATGATGCTCCGGAAAAATGCTTCGATGATGCTCCGGACGAATGCCCCAAGATCTTGTAACGGCCACTGGTACCGGTCCTTTAAGTACTGATAGTTTTGCTGAAGTAAATTGAACTGCTCCTCTTTTTTAGCAAGCTGGTTTTCCAGGGCCTTTCTCTTGCGTTCTGCGATGTCTAGCAGCTTCTTGAGGTACTGAAAGGCACTGAACTCTCGTTGTTCGGAATCATTCCGAACTAGCGGCAGGTCCTCGCCACAGTCTTGAAGAAGGACATCCTGCAAGATGCAGTACTCGGCAGAAAACCTTTCGAGCTCAAGCTGAGATGCTTCAAACTTCTCCTTCAGGGTGTTCGCTTCCTCCACCTTGGAATCTACAAGCTCCTGCTGCTTTGACAAATCCCCACTTAGAGAAACTAACTGGGCTTTCAATGCTTCAGACTCCTGATACTTGGCATGAGAAAATTCTGCTTGCTGCGCTTGCATCTTCCCCAGGAGAGCCGAAGCTGCCTTGCACTCGCGTTGAAGGGCCTGCTCACGGCCAAAGCTCGCTTCGATATTTCTGTCGTGCTCCAAAGACATTTGCTGCATTTCTGCCGTTGCCAACACCAACTCTGAAATAAGGCCTTGTCCCTCTTCGGGGCGAGATGCCAGCATGTCCTTTTTTTTCTTTGACCGCCTCTCCAGCTCTGTCCCAGTCTGCGCAAACTTGGTTGCTTTGGTTGATGGAAGAGGCCCAATCGTTATGCCTCCCAAATGGATCGTTTCATTGCGGTCATTGTTCATGGATGAGTTGGAAGTTTCTTCTTCTGCAGAAACACGTCGATATCCGTAGGTTTTCTGCTGTGTCTGGTTGCAGATTCGGAAAAAATGTCCATAATTTCCACACGAAAGGCAGCGCTTTCCGTAAGCTGGGCAGTTTCGGGGTTCATGGTAAGTACCACATCTCGAACATGAAATTTGCTGTCGGTTGCTGGATTGGTCTTTTTGTGGTCCGGATGGTCGGTAACTTCGTTGTGCTGCTCTGAAGCTAGATGGCTGACGATAGAGTCCATCAACTCTAACTTCGTCTTCAGTTTTCTGAATATCATTCACGTGTTTTTTTTTTGAGATTTCAGCTGCTTTACAGGTTGAAATGATTTTGTCTAAGGTAAGACTTGGTTCACGAAGCAACCGTTCGCGCAAAGCCACGTCTCGTATCCCAATGATGATACGATCACAGATGAGCCTGTTTTCTTGAGCTCCGTAGTCGCATTTCTGATCCCGCAGTTTTAGCTCAGTTAGAAATTCGTCAATGGTTTGTTCTGGCTTTTCGCACATTGTGTTAAAAATGGCTGTTGCTTGTGTCACGCTTTTGTAAGGTGCATACAGTTTATCAAATTCGTGCAGTATGTAATCTACTGCATTCTCTCTTTGCCCGCTTTGACCATCATCTGTTGGTTGCAGAGAAAAGGTTTGCGTAATTCGTCTTGCCTGAGGTCCAAGGCAGTGGAGCAGAAAAGCTTTCCGAGTTGCGATAGACTTTGATCCATATTCACAGGCTGCCTCGAAGATAAGCTACGATGACTTCCACTCCTCCCATGCTCTTGCTGGGTCGTCACCAGGATGAAACGGAGCCGGCGGTTGTAGGAAAGCAGATGCCATATTGTTGTCGCTGTTGCTTGTTAAATTTAAAATATGGACGTTGAGCTGCTTACCACTTCTGACACCATGTTATGTTGCTAGTTAAGCTGAGGAGGACGGTTTAGGCAAACTGTTTAATAAATACATACGGGATCAAAGCGGCAGCTATGGCGAATGCTCGTCAGTTCCAAACGCAACAGCGCGTGCCACCTCCTGCGAGCGTGCTCACTGGATGTCCTCTTCTTCTAAGATCAGAAAGCCTCATGACATCATAACAGCCTGCTGGCAATCTGCTTTAAATTGTGAGACAATATATGCAGGTACGGTACTACGACTGGGCGCTTCTTTTGTATATTTTTTTCTGCTGCTACTATCCCCTTTAACTCTGGCCGGCCCAGGGTGAAAGTGCAGTTTTCTAATTTTCTAATTTGTTCCTTTTCTTCTTCTTCGTTTTCTTTGTTTCTTTTAACCTGTACATTTCTTTTTCCTTTTCTTCTTTGTTTTCTTTGCTTCTTTTATCTTGTCTTCACTTCACGTGGGGTTCAATTTTCGTGGCTTCTTTTTTCTTCTTTTCACTTCTTTCTAAATAAATCAGTTGAGAGTCAGCGCTCTTTCGTTCTACTGTCCTTTTCTCTTCCGCCGACTTTTTGTGCGCTGTTTAAAATCAGTCAACTGTGATAGCCCGGGAGAGGTAGCCGCAGCACTGGCGTGGTAAGACGATCCACAGGCCTGGAAACGAACTCCGACTGCCAGCCCTGAACGATGACCGACAATCAGGTTCGGCAGGCCAGGACCGCCGGCTCTCATGGTGGGGCAACCGGGAAGTACAGTAAACACATTCGCTGTCTCCTCGTTGTGTTGTGTGACTCCTTGGGAGACGAGCGAAGCACGGACCGATCGGGCGGCGACTATTATAAAGCGATCCCACCACTTATACTTAAACCTCTGATTTGTCCTTATGAAATTTCAGTTTGAAAATACGACAAAGAGATAGTACGTAAAATAAGGAACTGTTAGGGATTCGACTCAAGAGCATTTGTGTTAACAAATTTATTCCGTCAGGCTAATGATGCGAACTCGGCTCCACACGGTATCCGGATGAAAGCATTTTATTCGCAATTGCGAAATAATGGGGCCAGCCAAATATTCTCAAAATCTTGTACACTTTGCAGAATTGACTAATGATTACATTTTACTATAAAACCTGTCCAATTTCTATCCTCTATTTAAATTTTATTAATATAATACTGTTTGCTGTAATGAAGCTTTCTTTCCAAATTTCGGGAGTTTAGTTTTCAGAATCTTGAACGCTGCTGACACACGTCGGTGCGGCCATCAACTTGCTTATCTTTTTACATTGTCGTGTTTCCTAAGGGGCTTTGGGAATCACCTGAGCTTCTGTGCTTTAAGCAAAGCGTTAGATAATATTTCTTGAGAAATACTGTTTTAAAGAATAGCAAGAGATAACTGAAAGACTCGATCTTTCCAGCGACCGTCCATCATAGACAGCAACGCGACAACTGCCCCCAAGCCTTAAACGTTCGAAACGAAATCCACTACATTTGTTCCTGCGATTCTGTTGCAGGGCCCTGAGATATCGCTGCCAGTAGCAGCGGGGCCAGGAGGCCGTCAGGAAATGCATATCGAGGCTGGCTTGGGGCCTGTTGGTGTGGCTATTTCTTTTTGTTTTGTATTGTATGAGAAATGATACAAACTTGTGCGGCTGCCAGTTGTGCCAAAGAGACAAAAGACTCACAACACTGCCAAACTACGTCTAGGAAGAAGACCGAGCAGTGTTTTTTTTTTTTGGTGGGGCGCAACGTGGTTTACGGTTTACAACGCATGAAAAAAGAAACATTCATTGTCTAGGGCCCAGAGCGACGCCTATTTGTTCGCAAAATGGAATCGCCTCATTTAAGGAAAAGTATACTAGGTCACCCGATTGCATTTTCTATATTTTCAGACGGGAGGAAAGAAACGTGAAAAACAAAGGAAAAAAAAAGATTAAAAAGAATTTGATTTCGTAACATGTCAGGAAAACGAACTTCTCCAGGTGGGATTGCTCAGTAATAAAGACAGGAGTTAAATTCTCCATTTATCTTGCTAATCAGGGTGTGCATTTGTATATGAGGCATGCTTTCTAGATTAAATTAATATAGACATTTTATGCTCAATACACTTGAGTTGAGAATGCAGAAGTCTGAAAAAGCTCTCATTTATTTATCTATGCTAAATACAAAAATACATTAACAATATAACAACAACATATATGAAGTTCTGCAAAACGTACAGCTGCCGAAAAACAACTAAGCGAGCTTTGAATATAAAGGGGAGAGGAAATCATCATTTAAAATTTTATACTCAAATTTCGCTTTCGTAGTGCTGATAGTAAGCTGAGACAGAGAATTTTCATTCTAAATAGCAAAACAAAAATTAATTTAAAGAAGGAAGACTGTGTAACTCACTGCTCCAAAACAACGTTCGCGCTCAGAATATAAGCTTGTGCCGCTCGCACAATTCACGCTTTTTCGCAGGGGTGCGTAATTGAACGCGAGTTCTTACAATACACAATACAATCAACTTTACTTTTCCAAAAGTACTGGAGGGGTCCCAGACAAAAAGCTGTTAAAAGCAGCTTGACTGCGTCTGGGTCCCCCTTATACATGGCAGCAGCTCGGACAACAAACATATAAAACACTTTACCACGGTGATAAGAAAAATAAAACAAGGTCACATAACATAGGAGCAGCAGAAGGACAAAATTATCTACGAATAGTTAAAACAGTAGTTACGTAAGTCTTTTTTGCCAATTGTGTAGATGTTTATGTTGTTCGTGAAACATTTATTCAGCACGTACGGTACTTTGTAATGCAATGATTGGAGGTTGTAATTTGTGCGGCAGCGAGGAAGGAGCCAAGTGTCGACACGGCATGTGTTTACATTACTTTCACGTTTCTCAAGTTCAGAAATAAAATACAAAAAGTCTATGAGTGTTGGCGATGAGAAACGAAGGGTACAGAGTAAACGATAATTATATACGCGTTCTACGGGAAGCATTTTATGTCTAGAAAATAATGGTTCTGTATGGTCTGTATATGAGACACCCGCGATATAACGTAAAACTTTCTTTTTTGCAATAATAGTATATTTTGAAGGTTTGTGTTAGTTTTCGTAGCCCATACAAGATTACAGTAATTTAAATTAGACTCAAATAGTGCGTAGTAAAGTTTTAACTTAATATTGATTGGTAGAACATGACGACAGCGGGCAATAATGCCAACAACTCTGGAAAGTATAGCAATTAGATAGTGAACATGGCAGTCCCACATCATATACTCGGAAAAAAGTACTCCTAAAATTTTATGTTGGCTAACTAATTCAATTTGTGAATCACCAAGTTTGATTTCATTTTTAACCAGAACTGGTTTACTAATAGATCTAAATAAAATGGCTTTAGATTTTTGGGTGTTTACTTTAAGTCGATTAACTTCGGACCACATGTAAAATTTACTTAAGATAATATTTGCTTTACATATCAGAACATCAGCATCAGTAGCAGAAATAAAGAGGCTCTTAACATCAGCATGAATGACAAACTGAACTTGGTGATCGATGTTAACAATATCATTTATGTATACATTAAATAGAAGAGGCCCAAGTATACTTCCTTGCGGCACACCAGCAATAACATTATGAAAGGAAGAGTAATGACCGTCAATTACTACTCACTGTTTTCTATATTGTAGATATGATGTAAGTAAAGCAAGGGGTACTCCGCGGACACCATAGTTCCCTAGTTTACCAAGAAGAATGTGGTGATTGAGATCATAAAACGCTTTACTGAAGTCTATAAATACACCTAACGTAAGAAGCCTTTTTTCAATATTTTGCAATATAATTTCTTTTTGAAGTAATAAAGCGGCTTCAGTGGATTTACCTTGTCGGAAACCGAATTGACAGTCCGATAGTATAAAATGTTTTGTAAAAAACGAATTTAGACGTGCGAGTATAATTTTTTTCAAGTGCCTTATAGAAGATAGGTAATACTGATATAGGCCTGTAATTATTCTGGACGTTCTTATCGACTCCTTTATATAAAGCAGAAACTTTTGCCAACTTCATGTTTGCTGAAAATTGGCCAGATGATAATGTCAAATTATATATGCGTGCTAAGCATGGGGCGATTATATCTATTACATATTTAGCCGGCTTTATTTGTAATTGGTCAACGTCACTACTTTTGCTGTTTTTTAGTCCTAAGAATATATTACATATTTCAATTTCGTCAGTTGGATTGAGAAAAACGTATCGTTATTACGCCTTACATATGAAAGGGCACTAGGATTAAAAGCAGTGGGTTGTTCAACCGAAAATTGAGTGTTCAAGCATTCCGCCAGACATTCATCGGACATAACTTGACCGTCTATTTTTAATTCACCGATAGAGGGGGACACCTTTGTAAGATTTATAACTTCATTTATTACTTTCCAAACCACATCGGGGTGCTCTCTAGTGACATTATCGAACATTTCCTTATAGTATGAAGATTTTGCTTTTCTAAGTTCAGAAGTTAGATTATTCCTAAATTTTTAAAATATGAGAGCCTGGTTGGGTTCCTCGTTTTTAGGAAAGCCGTGTATAGGCGGTCTTTTTTAGGCATCATTCTAATGTGTACTGCGGTCACCCAGGGTTTCCTT